TTTTTAGGTATCTGGAAACATGGTATTTCTCAAAGCACGTTATTCTGACGTCACAATAACAGTCACCTAGCAACCGAAACCAGAGTCCTGCTCCTCACGAGGTAACCCGAGGTGAAGCTCCGCCCACTTCTTCAAAAGACGTTAGTTGTTCTGTTTTTACAGCAGCCACGGAGAACAGAGATGCCTGTATTAATTTTATTTTTATCTTTGATGACAATGTTCCAACAATACTGCCAAAGTAAGTTGTAGTTTGTGAAAATAATTTCACTTTGGAAACTGCTCCCATGTCGGGGGGCGGAGCTAACCTAAACAAACGGATGGGAGGGGGGGTTTCCATAGCAACTTCTGCATACAGCACGTTCTGGAGAGAGCTGAAGAACAGGAAAAACTGAAAAGGTGAAATTTCATTATTTGAGATTCTTTTTGTGAACTAAATCAAATGAACACGTTTTGTATAGTCCACAGATGGATCCTAACCTGTGCTAGGACCCCCATAATAGGCCCACTTTAATATAATGTAAACATATATTTAATTTTATTTATATAGGGCGGCATTGGCTCAGTTGGTAGAGTTGATGCCTCTCAGCAAGAAGGTCGCCAGACCAGGGACCTTTCTGAATGGAGTTTGCATGTTCTGTCTGTGCACACATGCGTTTTCTCTCCGGCTTCCTCCCACAGACCAAAAGGTTAGGTTAACTGGTAACTCTGAATCAGTGGTTCCCAAACTTTTTATCTTATGACCCAAAAAATATTCATGGCAAAAACTTGTGACCCCAAATATTACTGGTCTGAGTACATGAACTTTGTTAATAACCCTAAAAACACAGGTTTTTTGACAACCTAAACAGCTTGTACACAAATATAAATACTTATTTATACTTTTTGTGTGTTTTTGTAATAGTTATAGGGAAAATATTACATTAGCAATTATTTTATTACCCTTTAAATTGATTTCTGGAGATTATCCAAGGTGCTTCATGACCCATAATTGGGTCCCAAYCCCAACTTTGGGAACCAAAGTGCAGTGGTTCCCAAACTTTTCAGCTTTTGACCCATAAAATAACAGTAGAGACCTGTGCCCCCAGATATGTTTGGATGATAAACATTTGTATCAGGTCAACAAAACATGGGCATAGTAACAATATTTTTATATTACATTCATCCATTTTAAATACACTAACCTCACTCCTTTGTAACAACTAAGACAAAAATGTAATTAATTCAGAAAATCTTTTCAGGACCCCACCTTGATGTTTCGGGACCCCACTTTGGGTCCCGACCCCAACTTTGGGAAACACTGCTCTAAATTGTCCGTAGGTGGGAGTGAGAGCATGAATGGCTGTTTGTCTCATTACAGTGATGGGCTTGTGACCTGTGTAACCTGCCCCTCACACAGTGACTGCTAGATATGGGCACCAGTGATCCCTCTGACCCTGAAGAAGTCGGTATAGACGGATGGATTTTAATACAGGAATGAACAACAGACCTAAGTCACTTGCGGTTGGCCATGAAGCGATTCACAAATGCTGCAGATATAAAACACGGAGTTGTCTTGGTCTAAAAAGGTTTATTTATTTGAAGTTCGGCACTCAAACCAGGCTCCTCTCTCACCATGTGCCTTTGCTGCAGTAGGTGTCGGAGTTGTCACGTTCAGAATCTCGGTAAAAAATCTGCTTCCTGGTGACTCTTAAGGCTTTCAGTCTCATCTCATAAACAATATGCTTCTATGACAAATAAACCCCTTAGATTGAACTACGGATTAAACCTAAACCAATAAAATAATATTAATAATAATAATAATAGATCTGGGGTATCTTTGAACATTTAAAAACAAAAACAGCATATACATATGATCTGACTCCAAAATTGTCTGGATCTCTCACAAAGAGACATTGCTCAAAATAATCATGTGGCCGCACATGAAATAACCTGCAGCCATGAGTTCTTTTCTTTTTCCTTTCTTTTTTATCCAGTGTCATCAGTTGTTTTAGCAATAAATAAACATTTTATTCTGACAATAAAACGATAATTAAAGGTTAAGCATTTCTTGAAGAATTGCACATATTTCATTGCATTTAATGCCAAAAGTTTAGACTTAAGTTGAGAAATGAGTTTTATCCATTTTGGTCAAACCTTGAAAATAGCGTTATGAACAACCTTATTTGGTATCTTGCATACAGTATAAGTTAGTTATCAACGTGTATCTAATGTGTGTAAGTTTTATCAAGTTTTGTTAAATCAATAATCGCTCTGACCAGTCTTATATAAAGTATCTCAAAGTGATACTTGTGAAAGTACGTGTCTTACCAAAAGATTACTTTGGCCAAAGTTAAAGTCTCCTTTAAGAATATTACTTGAGTAAAAGTTTTAAACTATCTGACATTTATCAAAAGTACATGTCTGATATAAAATGTACTGAAGCTGATGAAGGTTCTCAGTCATCTGGGTCATGATCAATGCAAAATACAGTTTTCAGCTTCAGAATAGATGTCCAGTTGTCAGGGTTGCTGTGGTTTTTTAATGTTTTTGGTTCCTTATTTTAGAATTATTTGTTCCTTTTTTTGGTTGTTGGGTCATTTTTTATGTTTAGCTCTTCCTTGTGTAATTTCTCAGTCTGCTCAGTAGTTTTCCAGTCTATCAGCCACTCTCACCTGTTGCCACCCTAATTAGCCAGCTGCTTTTCATGTTCTGATCAGCCCATTCCAGTTTATTCTGTCTGTCACTATCAGTTCTGTATTGTTGTAGCTCATGCTAGATGTCCGGCTCTCCCCGTGTTTCCCTGTGTTCTTCAGCTCTTTATGTTTTGTAAGTTTTATCACCATGTTGGCTTTTTGTTTTGTGGTATGATTAATAAGTTTTGTTTTACCTAAGTTCCTTGTGTCTGCACTTGGGTCCGAATTTCCTCCAAGCCTGATTCCAGTTTTTTTTTACTTTATTTTTGATTGAAAATGTACTTAATTATTAAGAGTAAAAGTATCGAGCAAAAGTGAGTGGTTAGAATAACCAAAATGACACTGACTGACTTTTTTTCTGTAATGTTATATTAGGATGTTAATATTGAAAATGTTGGGATGCAGTAGACTTCCTGTTTCAGCCACATACAGTATACGTATCTCTGCCTTCTTCATTCAGAGCTACATACATCTGATATGTCCTGCTGGAGTGTGGCATGATTTGTGTCATGTATAGGTGTGATGGATCGAGAAAAATCAACAATAGGGTGTCAGAATTATATATATTTATACCTCTCATCCAACCACAATTAAATTTACTTAATCTAGGAAGCACCATATATTTGGATAGTTTGTTTTTGAACAATGACGAGTGGGAATGAAAAGAAGAAGAAAAAGAAACGAGTAACAAGGCTATTTTTAAAATGTAAGGAGATGTTACTCCAGTAAAGAATAGATAGCAAAAATATCTACTCAAATAAAGTAATGAAGTACTTTTAACTTGTTACTTGTCTGACTTTGTCTTTGACATCAAGCATTACTTACACGGTAAAATCTTGTTACTCAAAATGTTGCTTTTTGCATTTTCAGTACGTTTTCCTCTCGTTCTCAGCTATGACATATCAAACAGCAATGTGTGGTTTCTTGATTTGACCAACAATTGGAAATGATGCCACACTAGCACCATTAAGTCATTTCTGCCTTTTAGAATTGAAAGATCATTTCAGGAACAAGAACACCATATCTTCTTTCAAAGGTCAAAAGGAGCCAAAGAAAAAGTTGAAAGGACATAAAGTATCAACATTTACACAAAACCTTAATCTGAGGTCATATAAATCTTAAAAACAGAAAGGAAATAAGTTATTGAGGTTGAAAATAGTTTAATTCAGCAAACTTATGATGCAGAAAGTGGAGGGAACCCCCCCAGTGACTCCCCCCACCCTGGCTGAATTCAGCTGCTGGGAACAGAATAAAATCATCCAAGAATGCCAGCTCACCCCTCTCGACAGCCTCGATGGTTGAGCCCCACCTCACTCCAGCAGAGTACATGTTGGGTGATGGGAGGGCATAAATCAGAGGGGACAGGGAGAGTCCATGAAGAAGCTCAGAGAAATAAAGAACGGTTTATTAGAAGCAACTGGAGGACTGAAAATACATTAATTAACATTTCAAGAGTTGTCTGGTGTCAGTGGCAGAATTTATCTCGGTACAGGTAAGAGAGATGTTTCTGGTGAGTTTTATATGATAATTATGATTACAATGAGAGTGGCTTATAATTAGGACATAAGATTCTAAACTAAATCTAATATTGTATACAAATGTAACTCTAAACCTGAATTTATACTTTCATAATGTGTCAACATTTGAAGTGACCGCAGGAACAAACTGTGTTTACAGCTTCCTCGCCTGCCCTCTCACTGTTGCTGCTGGGCCCAGTAGTTGTTGTTGACATGGGTTTTGAAATAGCTGCAGTCCGAGTGATCCACCATCTGTCCCAAGGGTTTGCTCTATTTGGAACAGGCCACATTACGAGCCAGCCTCGGGCATGTATATGTTGTGTATCACTTTGCAGAAGTATCCTACTTAAGGGAGGCCCAGCAGCTTTTTTATTGTTATCTCAGAGGCCGTACATGTGTCAGTCATGCCATCATTTTGGGTTGACTTTTGTAATTTAGTGACCAGAAACCACTTTGAAGAAAACAGCTTGTTCTGTCCCAGTTCAATCTAGAGTGTTCAAACTGTGACGCAACCTAGCCCCTACGGACCCTTGCTGACGCAACGTGACATGTGCTTTAGAACTACAAACTGGATATTAATAGATCCAGATAGTTTGTGTTTCTGGCGGGTGGGCTGCATGCTGAGCCTTGGATTGCAAGAGCTGGGTGCAGTGGCATATGATTGAATGAACCTTTCCCATGTAAATATGACCTGTTTGGAGCTACAATATTTTGACCAAACCAACTCTTGCATAATAAATGAGGGATTAAAAGAGCCTCACGTGTTTTTGAAGTAATTTAATTTCTATTTGTCTCTTTATGACTCTTTCAGATGTTGCTCACACTCAAGGTCCGCTTGATGGAAGTCTTTATGCTCGAGTCTGCAAGAAAGACTCCTTGGAGGGAGTTGTTACCATCAATGGCCTCCCAGCTCGTGAAAACCCCCTGAAGAATCCAGAGAATTCATTACAGCAGAGCAACCATCCACTTCAAACAAGTGAGCAGACACTTCCTGTGACAGGCCACACCTCTCTCCCAGCTGTAGACCATACTCTGTCCGTGAGCAGTGACTCAGGCAACTCAACTGCATCCATCAAGACTGATCGTACCGATGAGCACAGCCAGTCCTTGCAGATTGCCGCAAGTCAAAACAACCCAACAGCTCACCCACCGCTAAGCCCACAAGAAAAAAGAGAGCTCGACCAACTTCTGAGTGGCCTAGAGGCACCAACTCAGCGGCAGGCCTATTTGTCCACATCTACCAGTCCAGGAGGAGGTGTGAGACACCTGGTCCCAGCACAGGTGCACGTCAACGGTGGCCACACTAGGCTTCTTGCGGTACCTTCAACAGAGGAACGGGAAACGGATATTCTTGACGAAGAGCTGCCTAATAGCCAAGAGGGCAACAGTGTGGACAGCCTGGGTACCCTCTCATCCTTAGAGGGTCAGGCAACACCAGGTAGCCTCTACTACCAATCGCAAACGCCTGTCAGTGTCCAGAACGACGGCCCGTATCTTGAGAGGAACGTTCTTGGGGAAAAGCTGAACGAAATGCCTGTGCATGGAGTACGCACACCTACAGCATTACAAGAGAGGGCTGTAGACTCACCATCGCCCCAGGGGGGATACAGCAACTACCAAAATGGAGGAGGGATGTACCGCTCACAGTCCTTTGGGAACCAGCCAGCCAGTAGCCCTGAAAACAACTCTAAGCTGATGCCCAGGGCCCCTGAGAGGAGTACCAGCAGTCGAGAGGCTGTTCAAAGAGGTCTCAACCACTGGCACCAGCATAGTCTTCCAGATGATCCTTTTGGGCCTCCTCTTCAGTCAACCCACAGCCTGCCCCACTTCCCAACCCCAGCCTCACAACAAGACATCGAGCAGTCCATCGAGGCACTAAACATGCTAATGCTCGATCTAGACCCAATCAACTCGCACATGTCTAAGTCCCACAGTGCGCCATCTGGGGATACAAGCATCAGTTCATCCCAGATAGCATTCTCTCAGACCCTGGCCAGGCCTTCCTACCAAGGGGACTCTGCTATCCATGGCTACCACAACTCTGGGTCAGTAAATAACACCCATTATCCTCCCCAGCGATCAGTAGGGAGGGTGCCAACAATGCCAAACCAGAGTCCAGTTATGGATTCTTCAGTGCAGTCTTCTCAGAGGTCCAACAGTGGCTACCAACACCAGAGCACTACCCCGACACACACTCCTGAACCCTACCTCCACACACACCAATCACCCCACCACTACACCACTGATTCTTCTTCTAACCTCAACCAACAGAAGCCAATAAACTCATATGCAGGAGTTTCACACTCCCCGGACCTGCAGGGTCCGTCTCCGTATCCAGGCTACAGCACCTCTTCTTCTCCACTTCCTGCTCTTACCCCGCAGCCTAAGGACATGTCTCCTTCACCTTTGCCCAGAGAGCAAGATGCAGAGGAGGAGACACTAAACTTGGAAGGCCTAGTTGCACATCGTATTGCTGGTAAGGTGTCCTCATATTTTTCCTTTTTTTTCAGTTTATGATGGTGTATGAAAAATAAGAATAAATAAAGGTAGAACCTAACAGCACACTTGGATCATAGGCTTTAAACGATACAGAGGGAACTAAAATGGATCTAAAATGCTGACAGAGGCTAACAGAAGACTTTGTAGCAGAACGTGAGCAGTGCAGCTTTCAGCAGTTAGTGTTACAGACTCAACATGGGGGGAGGGTGGGGTCTGTATTGGTGGAATGACCTCATAAAATTAGCTGTGCAGCTCAAACGAAGCAGTGCTGGTTAAAAAAATGGGAAAGGGAATAATAATAGCCAAGTAGCTTCCCTGCATTATCTGCATTCAGAATGTACCTTCACTGTAGAAGCTCTTTGCTGCCGCCCAGTGGATCAAAAGTGTAATAACCATTTAAAAACATTCCCTCTGGTCAAGTTGATAACAGAGCTGTGAGTTTAGTGTTTTTAAAAAGTTTTGAACAATCCCATTTTATCATTAACTCACTTGCGAGTGATTCCCACTGTTCATTGCTGTTCTGATTTTCACCCTTTTTTTTTCCTTTTGTGTTTAATCCATCTTCGTTCCCATCATTGCTTTCGTCTCTGCGCCTCTGTCACCCTCTCCTTTTCGCTCCTGAACCCCTTCCCCCTGGAACAGAGTACAACGCTCGTATTCGGGGCATCAGTGAAAGCATGACACCTCAACAATCTGACCGCCACCGCTCCTATTCCTTCTCTGGTTTGTTCACTTTCCCTCACCTTTATTTTCCTCGTTTATTTTTATTGATCTTTCTGTTCTTGCACCAGGTAAGTTTTTTTCTCTCTGCCTCCCAACCATTTCACTTTAATTTGAGATCTTTTATGGTGGCTTTCTCCATGACTTTTAATCATTTCCTCTCTCAGGTCTGCTTGTGTTTCCCCACTGCTTTTAATTTATCCTGTTACGTCCTGCTGTTTTATCAAACTGTTTTTTTGCATGTGCAGTCCCGCCCGGTAAAGATGTAACATGGCTTTTCAGGAGTTCGTACAAGAGGGATGACTCCAGAGGTGACGCAGGAGACAGGTAGACGTCGGACCACAAGCGAGGGGCAGTATCAAAGCAGCCATGATAGCATGTCGACGGGGCATTCGCCAGACTTTGCCAACAATCTGTCCCTTAACCCAGGAGGAAGACCCAGAGAGGTACGTTCAAAAGGTTTTCGGTAATTTGACTTTCCTGTTTCTTGTTTTAATTTATTTTATTTTGTCACAATATCCACAAAGAAAAATGTCACAATTTTTTGTCCTGATGCATCTCAGTAATTCAGGTAAAAAAATCAAAAAGAAAAAAAAATTGTGTAGGTCTTCTGGACAGGTTCTTCTCTAATGAAACGTTTCGTCTCTTCTCCAAGAGACTTCTTCAGTCTGAGAGTTTCAGGCAAAATTAAGGCTTTTGTGATGTGGCTGATACTCACATCACATGGCTATCGTTGACACCTAATTAACACTTATTGTTAACAGGGGTGAAGTGATACTGGCAATAGTGGCGCTGTAGGAGGAGGACAGCTGAAAACGGAGGCCTCCACCTCTGTTTAATGATGGACGGTCTTTCTTCACAAAAATGGCTTCTTTTACTCCTCTCTCAAACCAACGTTCCTCTCTATCAAGAAGGATGTTCTCATTCTTGATAGAGAGGAACGTTGGTTTGAGAGAGGAGTAAAAGAAGCCATTTTTGTGAAGAAAGACCGTCCATCATTAAACAGAGGTGGAGGCCTCCGTTTTCAACTGTCCTCTTCCTACAG